GAGAGTACTGACATGTCATAGGGTTGTTAACCAATGTCATGAAACAATATATGTACTGTTTAATGAAAAGCTAGTTTGTTATGTAAACCTTCAACTAAAGTACAATTTAAAGAAGTTAAAAAAAACAATTAATAAAAAAATAAATAAATAGCAGTTATTCAGCCCCTATAAGGTACCAGTCACTGTGTATAATAATGTAAAAAAATAAACAAAACGTCCCTAAAAAAAAATAAATGCACAGGCACTGGGAAGCAGGCCACAGGCCAGCATTTCTTTTGCTGAACATATCTCTTATAGAACTCTTCGCTCTGTTAAGAATTGTTCAATTAGGAATTGTCTCTGCTTAAACGTTAACCATCTCTGTTTAACCTTTTCCTTTTGAATTGCTTCCATTGAACCTCCCTGCATTATAAAAACAGAGGCATAGCTGGATGCAGGCACCTTTTAACCAAGTTCAAAAATCTGAAGCTATGCCCACAGGGAACGTTAGACAACCTTAGCTCGAAGAATCTATCAACTGTCTCTGGGGAAAAAGGAAAAAAAAAAAAATCAGGATGTAATTGCTTAAATGAAAACTAACAGAAGTCCTAAAAACCACAAGTGGAGAGGAAACTTGCTGAGTCAGTGGCTGTTGATCCTGAGGTTTGATCTGACTTTTATTTTTTTAACTTTTGTTCTTTTTTTCTGTCATTGCGGAACGGCCTGAGCTGTGGGGCTGGGGAGATTGTGAATCCCCAGAGCTGAGGGAGAGTGTGTGGCCAGGGAGAGCTGAAGGACTTGTTGAGAAAGGCTCAAACAGGAAATAAAACATTTAAGACCTGAAGAAATGGTTTCAGGATCCCAAAGCCGTGATGCCAAAGCTAGAGAACAGAACAGGGAGAAATAGTAAGATGATGAAAGTTCTGGAGTTCAGCTGATTGATAGGATGTCAGAGAAAGCAAGGGCCAAGTGGAAAGGATTATTAGACAAGGACTATGGGAGAGGAGGGGCATAGCTAACAGATTTGGAAATATAAGGTTGCTATGAGTCTGAATTGACTCGATGGCAATGAGTTTAATTTTTTGGTTAAATGCATCAAAGGACGGATTCAAGTTAAAATTAAGGAGAGGAGATGCATCAAAATGGGGTTGAATCAGGACCAAGAGGTGTTTTATTCACCCCAACAGAAATACTATGAGAAAATTAAAAAAGTAAGTGAGACTACCCATTTAAAACAAGAAAGTTTCTAGGAGGTAGTTTACATACCCATTTGTAAATGCAATGAAATCTAGTTATAATCAAGTTCTCTTTCTATCTTCATGGATGTGCTGTAAAGGAACTTTATTTTTCTAGAAACCTCATTCCTATCCTCCTAATGCCACATACAAAATGAAGCTTTGAACTCCACAACTCTGGATCCAAGGAAGAAAGAAGTGTGATCTAATGTCAGCTCACACTCTCCACTGCCCCTCTTCAAAACCGCTGGTCACGTCCACATCTGCTTTCAAATTAGCTGTGTTGGCAATTCACACATAAATTTGAGCAAATACATTAATTGCTTTAGCATGTCTTAAGTAAAACACCTGTAAAGTAAAAATGTGCTCTGGCATCTGTCAGAGCGATGGAGAGAAAAAGTGAGGTCATATAAGTAAAATGTAGAAAAATATAGTTTCCAAATTAGACATAATTAGATACAGTCACCTTTGAAATTTTCTCTTCCATCAGCCTCTTATGATAAATTGTACTGATTTTATTCATTCATCCATTTATTTCCTTATTTATTCAACTAGTTTTTTTGTGTGTTTATATGTTCCAGGGATTGTTCAAGCTTTTGAACAAAATAGACAATGCTCCCTATCCTAATAGAGTTTATATTCCTGTCTACCTATCCTTCTTCCATTCATTTTGTTATTTTTTTCTTTAATTGTATTTACTACATGTCAAGACTTATATTAAGTGTATAATATCTATTCCCTCACTCAATCCTCTGAACAGCCCTCCATGAGTGACACTAACACAGAAGAGTGACATAGCTTCTCTAAAGCCTCTAGCTAGTTAGTGGACAGCCTCAGTTTGGAGCCAGGTTCTGCTTTCCTATAGCTAGGCCTGCTGCCTTTTGCTTTCTTTTCTAATGTCACGTCTTTGGTGGTTTGTTCATACCTGTCTGTGTTTGGTTTCAAAGAATCTACCTTCTAGACAGATGGTTTTAAAATTCTTTACACCCTGCCTATTTCCAAAGCTCTAGGTCAAGACTGAGTCCTTAAAATAAGGACTCACAAATTCAAAGCTTAAGGGCCTGAGTCATGAGGCCCTGCCTGTCTCTGCAACCTTATCTGCTGCCACTCATCCGCTCCTGCAAGCCGGCCTGCCTGGCATGCTGCGAGTCATCCAGGTCCATCCTGCTTCCTCCTTCCACAGTTCACTGTATGAATTCTGTGTTCTGGCTGAACAGCCTTGCTAGAAACCCCCTTCCTGCTTGCAGCTTTTACTAATTCTTCTATGCTCAGTGACCACAGAGGGCATGTCCCTCACTCCATAAACTGATTCAGGGTCCTCGGTTATATTCATGCAGCGCTAGTGAGTTTCCTTCTCCCAGTTGTTAGTTTGTTATTATATTTTTGCATGATTTCATGTTGACCTTTTCTAAAAGGCTCCTTGAGGAATGGGGCCGTATGTCTTTTGCTCACCTTTTTGCCTTTAGACCCGGTTCAGTGTCTGAGACTCTGTCGGTATCAACAAAAGTTTGCTGAGTGATGGATTGAATGAACATCCATAGGCATGTCCTACCACCACTTTAAACTCACCAATACTGAAATTACATTTTGCTCAGATGGCACTCCCTTGGATTTGTCCTCTTTCTTGATGACCTTGATGGCATCACCATAGCCATCCTGATTCAGCCTGACCTTTGGGGATCAAACAGTTATGTGCTCAGCTGTAAACTAAAAACTGTCTAAGTCACTCCGGGGGATCCTCAGAAGAAAGCCCTTGTAATCTACTTCCAAAAGATCAGCCACTGAAAACCCTATGAGCACAGTTCTATTATGACACACATGGGGTCACCATGAGTCCGAGTTGTCAATGGCAATTGGAAAAATTGTTACAGTGAGAAGACCCTAGCTAACTTGACGTCAAAGGTTTTTTAGTTTTTTCTTTTTCTGGTTTTGTTTTCTTTTGTAGGGGGAGGGGGAAATCATATTCTCTCTGTCAAATCATCTTGTACCTTCTGTACTTATCTCAGCTTGCCACATCTCAAAGATAGACCTATGCTTGAATTATCCTTTTAAATAATTGTGTGGTCTACAGCTTTGCCACCTCCATGATATTCTTTCCAAAAATCACAATTTAAGAGTATTCATTATGTGCTCCAAATATTATTTAAATTTCCCCAAATTATTCCTTGAGCATAGTCTTATTATTATTGTACAAATATGTATTATACACACACGTTTCATTTCAATATCTCATTTCTTTAACATGAGCTAATTGATTGATGATGGAAAAATAAAGATTTGAAAAAAGAAAACACAAATTGATTAGGCAGTGTAAGGAAAAGAAGGTCCTGGGGTAGTTCAATAAATAATGGAAAGGAAGAGAACAGCAAATCTATTCTACTGGCAGTAAAAACCAGAGATTCCAGGCTCTATTAAGGCCCTATATATATGTATATATATATTTTAAATAAGGGATTCCAGTTAGAAATACTCACCTCCATAGTGAGGGCTGTTAGAATGTTAATTTCATATTTGTACTTGAGGGTGTCTGGGAGCCCTGGTGACATAGTGGTTAAGAGCTTGGCTGCTAAGCAAAAGCTCCGCAGTTCAAATCCACCGGCCACTCCTTGGAAACCCTACTGGACAGTTCTAATCTGTCCGGTAGGGTCGCTGTGAGTCAGAACCGGCTTGACGGCACCTAAAAACAACAACAAAGAGGGTGTCTGCGTTGTAACTTTTCACCGGGAGTGGCTTATTCGCACTCTTGAACACAAGCAAGTGGATAAAACTCATCATGTGCCTTCTTCTCCTGGTCTGTGGGGTGCCTCCCTTTGGTGCCAGACCACGAAGGGAGATAGTGCTGCCAGCCTGGGAAGGCAGCGGTGCTATCAGCAAGGCCAGGCTCTTCTGGGCAGCATGGCCTCAGGCCCGCCGGGGGAGCGGCTGCGGGAGGAAGCCAGGTGCCCCGTGTGCCTGGATTTCCTGCAGGAACCAGTCAGTGTCAACTGTGGCCACAGCTTCTGCTTCAGATGCATCTCCGAGTTCTGCCAGAAGTCCGATAGCGCCCAGGGCGGTGTCTATGCCTGTCCCCAATGTCGGGGCCCCTTCAGCCCCGAGAGCTTCCGACCCAACAGGCAGTTGGCCAGCCTGGTGGAAAGTGTGCGACAGCTGGGGCTGGGCACGGGGCCCACGGGTGTGCGCCTCTGCCTGCGCCACGGCGAGGAGCTGAGCCGGTTCTGTGAGGAGGATCAGGCAGCGCTGTGCTGGATCTGTGACACCACCCCTGAACACAGGAGCCACCTCACGATGCCCCTGCAGGAGGCCGCCAGGTGCTACCAGGTGAGACCTGCTGTGTCCTGAGCACCAGGCACCTGGAGAGGCCGGTTAGGGATCTGCATATGCTGCTTTGACAGAGGAACAGGCAGAGCCAGAGATGTTTCTTGACTGCCCAAACCCAGAGCCCAAATGATAGCGCCTAGGTCTCCTCTGCTTTCTCCTCCCCATTCCCTGAAAACTCACAGGCAGATAGGGGCCTTCTTGCATTTGTCTGAGGTGTTCCACTTTTGGGACCCCTGTTCAGGAACCCAAATCCACCCATTTTCTGAGGCCGCCCATCTTCTCTATGCAGCCTCCCCTACCCCTCATTTAATTTCATGCTGGTTTACTTTTCCTGAATATTATGGATTGTGTCTTATAGAGTTTCTATGAGCAGGGCCAGATTAAGGCATGTGAGGGGGACCTGAACACTGATAATCTGTGGTGCACCGTCCCCTCTTAACTCATGCATTAGAACAGAATGTATGTGTTCTATATATACATGTCGTCTTCCTTATCTAGCGCTGCAATAACAGAAATACCACAAGTGGATGGCTTTAACAAAGAGAAATTTATTCTCTCATAGTTCAGGAGGCTAGAAGTCCAAATTCAGGGCACCAGCTCAGGGGGATGGCTTTCTCTCTCTGTTGGTTCTGGAGGAGGGTCCTTGTCGTCAATCTTCTTCTGGTGCAGGAGCTTCTCAGTGCAGGGAACCCAGGTCCAAAGGATGTGCTATGCCCCTGGTGCTTATTTCTTGGTGGTATGAGATCCCCATGTCTCTCTGCTTGCTTCTCTCTTTTATGTTTCAGAAAAGATTGGTTTAAGACACAACCTAATTTTATAGATTCAATCCTGCCTTATTAACATAACTGCTGCTAATCCCACCTCATCAACATCATAAAGGTAGGATTTACAGCACATAGGAAAATCACATCAGATGACAAAATGGACAGTCACACAATACTGGGAATCACGGGCTAGCCAAATTGACCGTTATTTTGGGGGGACACAATTTAGTCCACAACACAAGTATAAACAATCTTGCAAGTGGGTGCCCTTTTGACCCTACGCGAACTTTATTTCTGGCCAGCACACTCTCTTGCACTGGAGCTGGTATCAGCTGCGTTTAGTGTCCTGCCCCTTCCTTTCCACTGGTGCTTGCTTTTCCTTGTGTCTTGTGTGCTGGCATCTATGAGTTTTTGCTTCAGACAACTGGTGCCCCTGTTTTGTTGATGCCCTAAGAACGCGCTTACCTTGTTTTTTGGGTAATCCATCCTTGGCTATGAGTCATAATCGACTCCATGGTAATGAGGTTTTTTTCTAAATACTAAATAAATATTGATAAACTCTGAAGAGTGTGTCCTAAGGCCTTAAGTTATACTTCCACAATTCTTGTCATTACCAACCATGTTTTCCAGCAAAACTAGCCTAATCACTGTTGGCCCCAAACACACCACATCTGCCTTTTTCATCTTCTTGCTTTTACTCACAATTTCTGTTATTTCAGGGGCTTTTTTCCATTTACAAGTGTCAAAGTGCTTTATTCCTTCCAGATGCCAAAGAAAATGCCACTTTCACCATCTTGCTAAATATCTATATGAATTTTACTGTTATTTTATGTGCATTATTACATATAGCATCAATTATATTCTCCTTTTATAAGTAATTTGTGTGTAGGACATGCTGAATGACTTGGAAGATAGAGGTTTTCTGTTTTTTCCTATTAATAATGTGTGATTGTGTGTATCTTTGTGAGTCTTCTATGTAAACAAATGTGTTTACCTTGAGCAGAGATCCCAGGAGTGAAAGTAGATTTAGGTTCCATTATATTAGTTTTTTACCCTTTGAAGTATTTACCAGCTGTATTTATTTTTCATTTTAAAAAATATTAAGTAACATGATTGCTTCTGCCCCCTCAAAAATACAAAACTATTTTCTTATTATAAAGTAATAAATATTTTTGAGAAATTGAAATCTAAGGAGAGATATATGGAGTAATGTCATTCTTCAACTTAGCACCAAGAGACATTTCTTCCACTAAACATTTCCCCTGACTTCTACCTTATTTTTTATATTCATTACAAGTTCTTTTTTCCCACCAAAAAAAAAAAAAAACTGCTTAGTCGGTTCCAACTCAATGACTCTATAGGACAGAGTAGAACCGCCCCAGGTTTCCAAAGCTTTAAATCTTTATGGAAGCAGACTGCCACATCTTTCTCCTGCAGAGTGGTTGGTGGGTTTGAACCCAATAAAATATGCATATTTTAATCACTGTTACAGTTGTGGGCATTTCATGTCACTGAATCTTCTGCAACTTATTTTAACTCAATCCTATTGATGAAAAGTATTTTTTCACCCCTCCTGTATTTAACATTTTTGTTAATTGCATTTTAGCTATTTTAAATAATGTTGCAATGAACGTACTTTTAATCACTCCTTTGGTTGTATCCTGGTATTATAGTCTTTAAATATATTTATGTTTATTTTAGCTATTAATGTCAGACATTTTTATGTGCTTTCTGGGTACTATTTTAATTGATCTTTTTTATTTCCTGCAATATCTAGTTGACATTAGATAACTAAATGAGGGCATCTGTAAAGATTTCGGCACCTCTTCTACACAGGTAAAGCTCCAAACAGCCCTGGGGCTTGTGAGGAAAGAGATGGAGGAGGCCTTGACTCAGGAGGCCAATGTGGTTAAGAAGACTGTCATTTGGAAGGTAAGGGGATATTGGGGCTCCAGGAGACTTACTGACCTGAAGGATGCCATTCTTCCTTGGTCTTCTCCACTCCAAAGCTGTTGTTCCATCTATGTAGCTGTTCAAGAAAAACATCTTGGTGTCATCCAGGTTCACCCCAGTCCCCTCGAATTGTCCTATGCATCTGTGCTCTTCTTTTTAACTCTATTGCCACTACTGCAATCCAAATTATAAATAGATAGCTTTACTGGTTTTGATTTTACTGTAAAACTCACTGTTGTAACCTTAACATCTAATACAGAGCCTCATACCATCATGACTGGTTTAAAAAATATTTGCTGGAATATGAAGTAATGAATATTTTACAACATTATGACAGATAATACAGAGCTAATAGTGACCATCTTATGTACAGGTGAATAATATGAACTTTCAGCCTCTTTTTCTAGCAACATGCCATGCAGATACACATTTCCTATTTTCTAGACGCTTGTGAACTCTTTTTTCTCTTATCCACCCATTTGTAGCACACACAGAGACACACACACACAGTGTAGCTTAAAAAACCATACCAAACGTGTTGCCTTTGAGTCGGTTATGACTCATAGCAACCCTATAGTTTAACTAAGGGTGATTTTACTCCCCCTGCCAGGAAATATTTTATAATGTCTGGAAATATTTTTGGTTGTCGTAACTAGGGCTTGTGTAGAGTCTAGGAATGCTAAACATCCTACAATGTACAAGACACTCCCCCAAGGCTAAAATATCCATAGTGCTGAGGTTGAATACACGTATATTAAGATACTCGGCTCTTAACTGAAAGGTTGGAAGTCTGAGTACACCCAGAGGCACCTAGAAAGAAAGTCCTAGTGATCTACTTCTGAAAAAAAAAATCATCCGTTGAAAAGCCTATGGAGCACAGTTCTACTCTGACACGTGGGATCACCCTGAGTCAGAATCTACTTGATGGTAACTGGTTTGGTTTTGGTATATACATATATGTGTGTGTGTGTGCATATATATATATATATATATATATATAGAAACTATATGTAGTTTATATGTTTATAGAATTTATAATAGAATACTGACTATATATGTAGATTATATAGAATTATTGATCATTCTCCTCCAAATACCCTTTCTTCTCTGATAATTTTCTACATTTCTCTAACTTTTCATCTTCTTTTCTTTAAAAAATTTCTCTTATACCATATCCTCACATTGATATTTTCACAGGACTGCTTTTGTTACGTTTTTCTTTTGGGATAAGTCTTACTTGTTTCCATTGCTATGTTCAGTATATGTAAAGTTAAACACTGATTGACAAGCTTTTCTTCTTTTGTAAAACAACTGTGTTCAATCTTGGCCTCAATCTTGGACCGATTTACTAAATCAGAATCTCCATATCCAAGATCTGGGTTCCTGTATTTTTTAAACCCTCTATTTGTTATTTTAAAGTAGAGATGAGGTTAAGATTTCTGTATAAGTTAATTAATTATACTTGAGTAATCTTTACCATTGAGAATGTATCCATGTGAGCCAAATGTAACAAGCATGGGTCTTGATAAAAACAGATTCTAAATTCTAATAAAACCCTTCTCCTGTCTGTATCTGTACATATAATTGTAGAACTCAAAAGGATAATGTGAAAGAAACCTGAATTACAACCAAACCTCTTCCCACCACATCATTCCTTGTGTCCCAAATATAACCCTACTCCTTTTCAATGGCTAAGAAGACAAAGACGTAAGTCTGTAAGGACTCAGCACCTGCTGTTGCAGTTCCCAGATAGCTAGATCCCTGCTTGTCTAGAATGTAAAGCTAAAGAAACCAGAAATGTTAATTACACATATATCTAAAGGAACAGCTATTTGTTACTTCTAAACGTTAAGTTACATATTATCTTAAAATTTTGCCCTTCGAAACCGAGATTCAGTCATGTTCTCCAGGTTTGGCATAAGAGTCTCCATGTTGTCTCAGTTTCTGTATTTTGTTTTTAGCTTCCACATAGCGCAACAAGAAATCTGAGATTTAGACATACTGTGTAGAATAATTTCCCTTTTGTATTCAGTTTAAAGCTGGTTTTCCACATACTAATCTCAAGAGAATAAAATTCAGATATTGTCACCCTGCAGCTATGTATGTTCCTTAGGTTTATTCATAAACTTTAGATGTGAAATTAAAAATCAGCTAGAAATCTGCATTAATTCCCTGAAGTTCACTCTGCCATAAATGGCCAGAAAATCGCTTAGTTTTTTCTAACCTGGGGCAGAGAGTGTTTGCCTTTACAGTTACCATATTTTGAGGTAAGCTTCGTGTTTTCTAATATCTAAGCCTTTTCTTAGTCACATTTACAAATCCGTCTCTCTAATCTCACTTCATTTTTCTGATGCTTTTAGATATTTCTCATTCCAGTGCCCATTCTAATTGTAAATAGTAATTTTTACTAAGTGAAGACTAAGTGCTAGTCACTGGGCTGAACAGTTTAATGGATATTTAGCTCTAATTCCTACTCCTCCTTTTCCCGCAGTTTACATAGGGAAGTGAAGCTTGTTTAAGAGGCTTGCCCCCAAACCTACTGTGAGAACCCAAACCCAGCAGTCTTTCTCAAACTCTGGGTTTCAAAACTCTACCAGACCATTTCTCATAAGAATGGTTTCTGATTTCTGCATGTTGTTAGAATGCAGCTAATCAGTCAACAGCTGTGAGCGGACTCCAGCGTCTTCCTGCTCAACAATTCCTCACACAGAGACAGGAGACTCAGAGATGATCCTCTTGTTCAATGTCACAGAAGCCTTAATTGCTGATGATCTGACCCACTATGTCACTCCAGGAGAAAGTGGAAGTGCGGAGACAGCGCTTCAGGTTGGAATTTGAGAAGCATCGTGGCTTCCTGGCCCAGGAGGAACAACTGCAGCTGAGGCGGTTGGAGGAAGAGGAGCGAGCAACCATCCAGAGACTTCGGGAGAGCAAAAACAGGCTGGCCCAGCACAGCAAGGCCCTGAAGGAGCTGGCTAAGGAGCTGGAGGAGAGGTGTCAGCGCCCGGCCGTGGGTCTGCTGGAGGTGAGGCCAGGTGGGAGGGTGGGTGCACATGAGATCTATGGGTCAAGATGTGGTGTCCAAAAAAATCTATTGCCATCAAGTCGATTCCGACTCATAGTGACCCTATAGTACAGAGTAGAACTGCCCCATAGGGTTTCCAAGGAGCAGCCAGATGATTCAAACTGCTTAGCTTTTGGTTAGCAGCCGAGCTCTTAACCACTGTGCCACCAACGCTCCTTTGGTAACACAGCTCAGTGTGAATATCCAAAAGTTTGAATAATGGTTAAGTTGTCTAGCTGGAAATTGTCATGTTAAAATTTAAGATAAATGCTAATATCTTGGCCCATATTGCATGCCAAGGGATGGATTACTCAATAAGCAAGGCAGTAGAAGCTTACTTGTGCTTACTTACTAATTTGTAGTGAACAATTTTTCATGTTTTTCACCACATCAAAGATGTGGATCATCAGCCCCTGTTAGTGATTTTAATTTTGAAAAGAGGCTTTGATTCTGTGAAAGTGCTGTGGGGGTGGGAGAGGGGCAAATGCCAGCCATACCTAGAAGCAGAATCTTAGATGTGATGAAAAAATGTGACACTGTTCACTACAGATGATCTCGTAAGCAAGATAAGCACCATGCTTACTTTGCGGATAATCTGCCCTTCTGCACACCCATACCAGGCACAGTGGGGAGAGATTAACTGATCTCCCATTGGCCTTGCTTGCACTCTATTTGGGCTTGTAGAACAGACGTACAAATAACAGGGAGAAGGAAATGCTTGTTTTTATTCCTCCAAGTGATTGGTGAAAGATGTAGTTGTTGGTGAATATGGTTACCATGACTGAACCAACTGCAACTAAATTCATCTGGGCATGCTTCTTTCTATTTCACCCCCACAAGTTCATTCAGTAAATTCTGAACTAAGTAACTGATATTCTCATTTAGCAACTGAACCACAGACTTTACCTTGTCTGACTTAGCTCCTGACACTGAAGTACCTTAATATAAATAATCATCTGTTTGATCTGTATATTATAAGGACAGCGACTAAGCAGAACATGGAACAGAGTGGGGAATCAATTAATGAATGAATTTACAGAGCATTTTTCTTTAATTTGTCTGGCTTTGTCTTCAAAATAGTTACATATAATAAGAATTATGCCACTATCATTTTATTATTAGTATTATTGCTATGCCTATTTTCTTAGGTGCAAACTAAGCATCAGAAATGAACTAATTTTTTAAATATCATACAGTAAGTAAGCACAGACACTTAGACATTTTCAATAATAGCATTCATCACTTTATCTCCCCATATCTCAAATGACAATTTATTTAACGTTAAGTATTTATTGGCAATAAATAAATGTTTAAAATAATTAATAATACAAATGTTAGGAAGAATATTTTCTCAAATGATCTATATTTATGTTTATCCTCTAATTCCCCTTTCTTCCAGTACCAGTAAGCTGCATTTTATTCCCAATGGCCAAGACCAAGGCCTGTCATTCCCATAAAGTGTAAGGCTAATTATTTCCCTTGCCCTTATGGCTGTCAAAATTTGTCTGATTAGTGTTTATTTTATTTTTTTCTAGTGTGCCACAAGAGATTTATTGAATAATCTACTTTAAGATAAAATGACTTCCTTTTTCATCTATTTACTTAACTGATTCACAGATGTATCCATAGTTTATGACGTGTTGGTTCAAAGATCTTAGGGATTTGGGGTTCTCTTACAGAAACATAGAGGTATAACATTTTATGACTATACCTTCCTCAAATTCTGCAAATATTTAGTATCTATTTTTATCCTTATTCTATCTGAATTAGGTGCAGAATATTATTATGTGCACTAATTATTAAAATATACAAGTTGTAAATTAAAAATATATTAAATGGCTAGATGCAGTAGGAATTAATCTAAATTTTGTGTGGTCTGGGTCTATGCTAACAGAAGGGAAATGATCAATTTTTCTACACTCATGAGAAAACTGAGAGCCTATTTTTAATAACAAAAAATTCATTGACCCCTTATAGTTTTATCTTACTGGTTAAAAATTTCCAAAGAGATTTTCATGTTGAGTGTTCCCAATCTGACTGCAAAAAGCAGTTCAAAGGAAAACAGTGTAGCTGTTCCTCAAAAAGTTAAACATAGAAATACCATATGACCCAGCAGTTCCATCCTAGAAGTATACACAAAAGAATTGAAGGTAGGGACTTAAATAGATACTTGTACACTATATTCATTGCAGCATTATCCACAATAGCCGAAAGGTGGTAACAACCCAGGTGTCCATTAACAGAGGAATGGATGAACAAAATGTGATATATCCATACCATAGAATATTATTTAGCCATAAAGAGAAATTAAGTTCTGATACATGCTACAACATGGATGAAACTTGAAAACATTATGCTGAGTGAAATAAGTTAAGCACAAAAGCACAAATATTGCATGATCTGACTTATATGAAATATCTAGAATAGTCAAATGCATAGAGACCAAAGTTTAGTAGTGGTTTCCAAGAGCAGGAGGAAGGGGGAATGGGGGTTCATTGCTTAAGGGATACTGAGTTTCTGTTAGGGCTAGTGGAAAAAATTGAAAACAGTGGTGATGTTTGCATAACACTGTGATTGTAATTAATGTCACTGAATTGTGCACATAAAAATGGTTGGAATGGCAAATATTTTGTTATATATATTTCACCACAGTTAAAAAAAAAAAAAGCACTTCAAAGGTCTAATTTGTGCCTGCTTGTGTTTCTCTTTCACTTTCAGGATGTGAGAGAAGCCTTGAGCAGGTATGTTTGCTTTATAAGCCAGTAAAGGGTTTGGGAGAGGCTGAGAAGTTTGGTGGGTGATCCAAGACATCACTGGGCACTACTGACTCTGTGCTCTCCTCAGAAGTAAAGCTGTTACACAGTTGGAACCAGAGACCATCCCCATGGAGCTGAGAACAATGTGTCATATCCCTGGGATGAGGGAAATGCTAAGGAAGTTCCAAGGTATGCTGGAAAACTATACAGTGCCTGGGGGTTGGCTGTTAGAGCAGTATGTTTCTGTATCAGTCAGGCTGCAGCAACAAACAGAGCTCAAAGTCGTAGTGGCTAAAATCAGCAAAAATTTTTTTGAGATAATGTCATCTATTTACTTATGGACACATCATCTCACTCTGGCACACAGGCTGGCTCCACCTCCATTATGTTGCTGGTATCTGTGGAAAGCGGCAAGGATAGCATGAACTGCCTTTTAAAGGCATCGGCACTGAAGTAGTGTGCATCCCTTTCCTGAAAATGTCATTGGCCAGAGTGAGTCACATGGCTATGCCAAACTATAAAGAGGGATAGGGCAGTGAATCATGTGCCCAGAGGGATGAGTATTGGGATATTTGTGAACAATGCTAAGAACTGTCACAATCACTAACACCCATATAGGCTACATTTAGTTAGAACAATGGATTTGAAAGTATGCTTCATCTCTTAGTAGCTGTGATATTAGGAACATTAGTTCCAATAAATCTTCATTTTCTTGTATATAAAAATAATACTAGGATTGTTGGAGTACTAAATGAAAAAATGCATATTTGAAAACACACAAAACCATCAATATCTTCCATGTGTCTAATATCAAAATCCATAACATTGCAAAATATAAATGAACAAGAGTTTTTATTTTATTTTACTGCCTGTCCATTGGTAAGTTTGTTTGAATTAGTCAGCTGAAATACTTAGCCAATGCTCTCTATGTAGGAATAACTGTAATGTCATAAATTAGGTGGTTCAGTTTGATTATATTGCCCTTTAAAGCAGTATAGAGTCAATCTATTTTTTATTTTTTTTAATCTAATTTATGTCACTTAAAGAGTCTGCTTCTAAATAGTGGCAGCACTACTTACAGAGAAACAATTTTATTCTACAATGTGAAAACCCATCTTAGCAGTATTGTTAATGATTTAATCCATGCTCTAACAGATAAATGTACACTAACCCTATAATTTGATACAGGTTATTTAACACTCTTAACACTCAGTGTGTTCATATTTCCATTTATCTTCACTGAATTAATTAATTAAACTAATATTTTCTGTTTTTTGCCAGCCACTCTTCTAAACAAAATTGGAAAAAAAATCCCAGAAACCCATAGCTTCAGGTTACAAATATTTATTAAATTAATAATAAACAAACACAGCGTGTGAGAAAATAATGCAAAATACTGGGTGGGAAAAGGGTAAGGTAAGGGGGGCCAGAAGTTTTAGGGGTGGGATGTCTCATTTTAAATTTGGCCTTCAGGGAAGACCTCACTCAATAGGTAATAACTCAGCCAATATCTATTCTGGAGAAGAGCATTATACACAGTTGAAGCAAGTGCCAAGACCTGAGATGGAATCATGCCAGGTGTATTCCTGGGATAATGAGGAAGCCAGGGTGGCTGCAACAGAGTGAATGAGGGGAGAGTTGAGATCAAGAAAGTGTTGGGTGGTGCAGTGCCCTATAGTCAGGCCACTGTAAGCCTATCTCTGAGTGAAATAGGTTTTCTTCAAATGGAGGAATAACATGATTGGACTAATATTTTAAAGAGATCACACTGTATGTTGTGTTGAGAATGAATTAAGATAGGCAGATTGATTCTGTCAGTTTGTCATACTGTGGGGTTTGCATGTTGCTGTGATGCTGGAAGCTATGCCACCAGTATTGAGATACTAGCAGGGTCAACCATGGCGGACAGGTTTCAGCTGAGCTTCCAGACTAAGACAGACTAGGAAGAAGGACTCGACAGTCTACTTCTGAAAAGTATTAGCCAGTGAAAACCTTATGAATAGCAGCAGAACATTGATACAGTGCCGGAAGATGAGCCCCCCAGGTTGGAAGGCACTCAATATATGACTGCGGAGGAGCTCCCTCCTCAAAGTAGAGTCGACCTTAATGATGTGGATGGAGTCAAGCTTTTGGGACCTTCATTTGCTGATGTGGCAATTAATAATCGGAATGTGGAATGTATGAAGTATGAATCTAGGAAAATTGGAAATCATAAAAAATGAAATGGAATGCACATCCTAAGCATTAGTGAACTGAAATGGACTGGCACTGGCCATTTTGAATCTGACAATCATGCAGTCTACCATGCCAGGAATGACAACTTGAAGAGGAATGGCATTTCATTTATTTTCAAAACGAACATTTCCAGATCTATCCTGACAGAATAATACCCATTTGCCTACAAGGAAGACCAGTTAATACGACTATTATTCAAATTTATGTACCAACAACTAGGGCCAAAGATGAAGAAATTGAAGATTTTTACCAGCTTCTGCAGTCTGAAATTGATCGAACATGCAATCAGGATGCATTGATAATTATCGGTGATTGGAATGTGAAACTTGGAAACGAAGAAGGATCGGTAGTTGGAAAATATGGACTTAATGATAGAAACGATGCTGGGTATCACATGATAGAATTTTGCAAGACCAATGACTTCTTCATTGCAAATGTCTTTTTTTCACCAACATAAACTGCAACTATACATGTGGACCTCGCCAGAAGGAATACACAGAAATCAAATCGACTACATCTGTGGAAAGAGACAATGGAAAGGCTCAATATCATCAGTCAGAAGAAGGCCAGGGGCTGACTGCAGAACAGACCACCACTTGCTCATATGGATGTTCAGGTTGAAACTGAAGAAAATTAGAACAAGTCCACGAGAGCCAAAGTATGATCTTGAGTACATCCCGCCTGAATTTAGAGACCATCTCAAGAATAGATTTGATGCGTTGAACACTAATGACCAAAGACCAGGAGAGTTGTGGAATGACATCA